GAAACGTCTGAGAGTGGATGGGTGTAAGGGCAATTGTAGCGCAACTTGTTGAACTCCCCGGTTTATTCACTTATTACATGATTTTTGATCTGTTTGTTAGGAGGTTGTGAAGAGAATGATCGCGGGAGAGCTGGCAAGCCCTAATGAATGCATGTATGTATATATCCCTGCCAAAACGAATACACACTTTTTTATGAGACCTTTTCCGTCTTATGAATTTTGGGCAGGCCACGACTTTAAGGACATCAGGGGACAATTGACGTGTAGAGGACTTTACTTATTTTATTTCATGTTTACAGACACAGCGAGGTTGGTTTAAGGAAATGGCATTGGCTCGTTTTACTCGGCCTCCGAGTGGAGCGATATTGGTGTCCCTATTTCAGAATTGGTACGCCAGCATGGTGCTATCCAGGTGCAGCTCACCGTTGTGGATGAAAACAGCCCGTCGGATGCAACGTTAACAGTGGCCACCCCGATGACAGGCTTGCGCTTGATTTTGGGAAGCATCGCCAATCACTGGGAGGATTTGAGCCTTACAGGACATATTGCGAATCGCCGAGCGCCTCAAGTATTAAATTTTGAGACTCAATAGCACCTACCCATTGTGTGGGGGCGGCCCGGGACTTGAGGGTCCAGCAGGGGCTCGTCATTACTGAAAGGGATCGCTTGAGCACGGACCACGCCCACACCATCGCGGACGTGCGGAATGGAAGCGCTCAGCTTAAGTCGCAGGTGGAAGAGGCGCATAATAGCAGCCTATCGGTATTCGAAGCTAACATTGCGGTCGCCGACGGCCTTCTTGCAGAACGAGAATAAGCGCTCGCCGGAAGCGAACGGCAAGTGGAGGCTAACCGCGCCCACCTACAGGAACGAGAGGCACGCGTTAGCGCAAGAGGAGCGCGGCGAACCGTTACGCACGGCCCAACGAAGTCCGGCACGAGAGAGACGGCAGGTTATTCTCCAGACGTCTCAGGGTGATTTTGGGTGACCACATTTCCGTCTTTCCATGCTTTTGCCTTCCCGCGCTTTCCCTCGGACGCCCATTCCGCTACAGAAGAAGAGGGACGATGTTTTCACGCTTTCGACGCCACCTCTCGGGCCACAAGTGTTTGGAATGAGGGCGTTTCCGGAGTCGTTGTCGACCTCCGGGGCGCATACGATTGTTGGCAACAGGCGGAAGGCCCACGCTCAATTTGCCTTTGACAATTTGGTTGCGTGGATGGGTGCCGGAAGGCTTGCAGGATCCCACCGATCAGTTCACGGATTTAGGCAGGTCCCTACTGAATACATTCCGGATGCAGCTCACGATCGCATCCGAACCTAGCATACGGCTCTCCAGACTGCGCGCCCGTCTTTACACTGCCGTAAATGAGGCTGACGCCTTTACCAGGGAAGCCCAGCTTCTCGCGGAACGGCGAGGGATGCAACGACTGCCGCGGTGCCGGTTGTGTCGCATTTGTGGGCACGAAGCGTCTACATGCAACGCCCGAGGCGCACCCAGAAGAATTTACTCGCAGCGCGGATGCCCGTGGAAAAGCGGCGGAGGGGCCGCCCGCTGCCTATGAAGGCGGACGACGGCAGCCCCATCCATTCCGCCACCTCCCACCATCCGCACCGCACCGCCGATGCTCCACCCGCCGATGCTTCAAGTTGCCCGACGCAATCGTCGGGAAGGTCAATGGAGCTTATCCGCCAACGACGCTCGACTGTGGTACGACGAATTACCGACATCCCCGCTTTGGGCCAGTTATATGAGGGGAGCGAACGAGGCGACTCGAGAGATGTGTGCGCTGTCAGTGTGGGAGCAGAGAAGGCCTCTAGCGGGGCAATTCACAACCTTATGCCGCACGCACGAACAACCGATAAACGAGGAGAGCTGCGTGACCTTTTTGATGGCAATCGAAGTGGCGCCATCGACCCGACTGCGCCACGCCAGGATGCTGCGGTCCATTTTGCAAATGGATTGAACCCCGCTGGAAATGGCGGCTTTGAGGTTACAAAAAATCGCGGCGCGATCGGAGACGAAGCAGGCGCGCCCCTCGACAAAGAAAGGGACCGAGGAATGTATCCGCAGCCGGGCCGATTGGAAGCAGTGTGTTGTTTTTCGACATGCGTGGATAACGGCGAGTCGTTGGTTTGAGATTGCGGCCTTAACTCCCAAAAATTTTAAACTGAAGCCGGACGGGGCCTTAATTTTGGACTGTTCCGTGGCGCCGAAAGACGGCGAGGGCGGATCCCCACCGCGCCTCGAGGTCCGTCGTGATAAGAGGGCAGGAGGACGTGTTAGACACTATAAAGTTATGCAGGACACTTCGACGCAACGAGAAGCTCACGAATATTACGACCGTTCAAATCGAACGAGCCTTGGCTCCTTGGAATGCCACGGCACATTCCATAAAACACGGTGCGTTGAGGCACGCTGCTCAAACCGTGGAGACACACGATTTGAATCCACACGTGATCTCGCATTTGGCGAAGCACGTCAATCCGTTCGACCTTCCCCATAACACAGTTTGTTATTTGTGGAGGTACACCACAATGCTGACCCAGGTATCGTCGCTGGTCGCATTGATGTGAAGGGAGAAGCTGCGGAAGGGCCGGAACCCTGGCTGAGAGCGGAGGAGCGTTTTTTAATGATTTTAATCACAATCATGCTGCTGCAATGACGAGACGCGCGAAAAGGACGCGTCCGGCCACTCCACAAGATGATCACGCTATCCCGTTGCAGCAAGTCAACGTGCCCGTATTGAATCCGGAGTGGATTAAAAGCCGGTTGAACCCGGCGACATTGGAGAGACTCATGCAGGTTTGGGGACTCGTCGGGCGGCTCACTTTCCCTCCGTCTTCCTCCGGTAAAGCGTGCGAAGGCTCACGGAGGATTCCAACCGCTGACGCGCGATTCTTACGAAAAGCAGGAATTATCGAGGACGCTTCGTCCACAGTAACAGGCGGATGGATAATGCCCCTTTTCGGTTGTGGAGGAGAAAACCACCGGCTTACGACGACGATGGATCGCGTGGCCGCGCGACAAGAACCGAGACGACCCTTACAAGGCGAATGTTCCTCTTTCGCATATTTCCCATTATTTGCCGCCTGCGATGGCAGAGGCCGCTTCCTGCCTGGACTTAAAGGCGTCCTTTTTTCGTGTTTCTTTGCCGCGGGAGACTCGGCATCTCTTTCGATGCCGCGTGGAGGACGGCACGCTGGTGGAGCTGACACGGCACCCAGTGGGATACAAGGCCGTCCCAGAAATTCTCCAGATTATTACTTCGGCAATTGCGGGGGTGACGACGGTGGTTCACCGCCTCTGGGCTGCACCTCCATTGGTGCGTATCGGACGCATGGATCGGTAATATACGCATTGCAGGGTCGAAAAGCGACGCGACATTGTGGGAGGCCCAAGTGCTTCGTAATGCGGACAGTTGTCACGCCACGATAGGGAAGAACGCGAATCGGGCGCCACGCAGTACACCTTCCTGGGGTGCAGCTTGGTCACGCACACCGGGCGGTATCCCTGAGTGGAAGGTTTGTCCGGTCTGTATGTGCCGTGCCGTCACTCAATTCTTCAACCATCGCGGGAATGGAGGTTGTGGCGTCACGCTTTTTGTATGCGGCGGCCATTTTAGGCACGCGTTTATGTGACTACTACTTTTTCATCAAGGCAGTGCGACGACGATTGTCCGCACTTTACCGGGGAATTGTGCGGGAGACATCCCCGGTGAACCTTCTGCCGTCAGCGGTTGGCTTGGGCGAGAGATTGCGACACAGCATCGAGAATACAATCGTAAGCGAATCATCAATTCCACGAAAAAGGCATCGGCCGCCATCATCACGGATGCATCGCTCCATGGATGGGGCGCCGTTTTTATTCCAGACTTTGTTTACGCTAAAACTGTCTGGAGGAGAGTGGGAGAGGAAGCCTTTTTTTATTATGCAGGCCGAGGCACGCGGTACGCTTAGCCTTATCGGCCTTTTCCGCCATCTTGCCATCCCCCATGGACGTTTGGGCGGACAACACTTCGCTGCAAGGAGCGGCGAATAAAGGCAGCCCAAAATCACATGCCATGACGTGGGAGCTGCGACGGATATATAAGTTTGTTGACTCTCGCGGAGTGCAGGCATCCTTTGCATACGTGCGGTCTGCGGAAAACCCCCGCAGACGGCATATCACGCGGTTGTGTTTTTGCACTTCAGGACTTGGCGAGGGGGTGGAACTTGCGAAGGACAGCGGCGGGGTCTTTTGGCTGCAGGACTCCAAAGTCTGCCACTTTGTAAATAAATATATATATATTCAATGCGAGTAGAGTGAGCGGGCCACAATTGTGGCCAATTGATGATGTATATATACATACATTTACTTGGTGTAAAGTTTGAGGATGTGGTGAACCCACTCTTATTCCATTTACTTCTCATTTCGGCCTTGTTTGTTTTCTGTGATTGATAACCTCAGGATGAGGAAAGCGGCCCAGGTGAATATTTATTTTGTGTCACCGTGTGAAGCACCGCATCCCATTGAAGGCGGGATGGCAGTGTAATTTTTGGTGCCGCGTGACTGGTGGATGGGTGAGGGTCCACTTCAACGTGTGACTGGCGTGGTGGGTGCTTGCTCCGGGTGCGTTGTGTGTTGGCTGCGGGGATGTGGCCGTATCCCGTTGGCCGTGAGAATGTTCTGGAGGCGGTGGGTCTCTTCTCGTCGTCCATGGCGGGTGGCTGCTGCCGGTGCGCACTGGTTTCCCGTGCAACTTGCTGTGTTTCTCCTCCATGACTTTTTCCATTTCCTTCACACACAAAAAAGGAAGTAAAACAAGCGCGAATCGCTACTGTGCACTCTGAGGGCTCTGAAAGGAACAACAACAGTACACACACACACCGCACACACACAAGTATTACTCTCAAGCGTTGCTGCTGTGGAGGCACCCCGCACACACAACCGTACTCGCGTGACCGGATCCAGCGGAAGGAGGAGGGAAGGAAGAGAGGGTGAGCAGCAGAGGCCTAACATGTCCCGGCACCTCTTCTACTCTGCGGTGCTGCCTCTCCTCGTCGTGTTATGCGGCAGTGGGGCTGCACACACTGTGCAGACGAAGACTGCCGTTGATCCATTCACAGGGATCGGATGGACATCCTCTCAATGGGAAGCCCCTACAAAAGTCAATGAAACATTATTCTCGCTCCGCGTTCCCAGCCTTGTTGAGGTGAACAATAACGTGTTCTTCGTTGCTGAAGCGCTGTGCAAGGAAAAAGGAGAAAGCCGCAGCCGTACTGGGATTGCGTCAAGGCACCTCGATCTAACTGATGATAAGCCAAAGGAGATATTGACGGAGGACACAAGTTTGGTGGTGCAGTTTCCAGAGGGTGTTGCGACGGGTACCGTCGAGGCAAAAGACACAATGCGGCCAACGACAGTTGTTTCTGGCGACAGTGTCTACATGCTTCTGAGAAATCAGGGCGTTACACCGTTGGTGGGTAAATCGGCTAATGCACGTGACTGGGGGCTTTTGCTGGTAAAGGGAAGTGTCAGTGGTGGCAATGGAATCACGTGGAATGAGACTCATGCAGTGACGTTTGAAAACAATGAATATGCTGCTAAATTCCTGACCCAGTTGGTTTCTGGCGGAGGATCGGGGATTAAGACGAAGGACGGTACACTCATGTTTCCCATGCAGGCCACAAAGAACGAAAACACTTCATTGCTGTCCATGCGCTTTGATAAGTCAGAGAATAAATGGAAGCTTTCGCACCAAACGGATGTTGATGGCTGCAGGGACCCGACCATCGTGGAGTGGGGAGATGACAGATTCCTCATGATGGCTTCTTGTGAGCGAGGTTACCGTGACGTGTACGGATCCACTGAGAGTGGGCGGAGTTGGTTTCCATATGGTGAGACACTTACTCGCGTTTGGGGCAACTCACATGATCGAAAGGGGCACGGCGTCCAGAATGCATTCATCAAAGTGACAATTGAGGACAAGGATGTGATGCTCGTCACCCTGCCGGTGTATCCGAAGGAGGACAATAAACAAAAGGGTCGGCTCCACCTTTGGGTGACGGACAATTCACGTGTGTATGATGTTGGGCCGATATCCCGTGAAGATGATGACGCTGCCGCGAGCTCGCTGTTGATGAAGAGTGGGAATGAAAAGTTGATTTCACTGTACGAAAACAAGAAGGGTGATGACGGATCATACAGTCTTGTCGCCTTGAGCCTGAGGGAGCAGCTGGAGCGGATCAAATCCGTGGTGAAGACATGGTCAGCGTTGGACGGCGCCTTGAAAACATGCCATTCCGGTTCCAGCGCCACTGTCGACCCGAGAAAGAAGGGTATGTGCGCTGGTCCTGTTCCCACCAAAGGGCTTGTTGGCTTCTTGTCTGGTAACTTCTCTGATAACAAATGGAGGGACGAGTACCTCTGCGTGAATGCAACTGTGAATAATGGGGAGCCGAGGGTTCGCAATGGATTGACGTTCAAAGGACCCGGGGCAGGGGCGGTGTGGCCTGTTGGCAAAATGGGGCAGACTGTACCGTACTACTTTGCAAACAACAAGTTCACTCTTGTGGCGACGGTGTCCATCCACGAGGCGCCGAAGGAAGCCAGCAGCCCCATTCCTTTGATGGGTGTGATCATGAAAGACAACAGCAGCACGGCGCTCTTTGGTCTGTCGTACACCCACGAAAAAAAGTGGAGGTTCACACTTCCCAATGGAACTTATGGAGGTGTCGAAGATGATGAAGATGATGAAGATTATGAGGGTGCCGAAGATGATGAAGATGATGAAGTTGCCGAAGATTATGAAGATTACGAGTATTATGAACATGATCAATATTACGAAGGTAAGTATAATTGGCAACCAAACAAAACATATCAAGTAATGCTGCAAATGAATACCAAGGAGTGGTATGTTTACGTTGATAGAATGCGGGTTTATTCTGGGCACTACAACTGGGATCTGTTTAAAGATCACAGGGTCTCACACATCTATTTTGGCGCGGAGAATAAGGAGGGTTCGGAAAGCAGCCACGTGACGGTGAGCAACGTCCTGCTGTACAACCGCATAATCTATGGAAGAGGAAGGAAGATGCTCAATGCCAGCAAAGTCTCTATTCCAAACCCTGGTGAGGAGTTCCTCACTGAGAAAGAGGAGGAAACACCATCATCACCTGAAGAGGGGAAAGCAGAGCAGGAAGTTGGGGAGGCGCTTCCACGGCCACAATCCTCCGTGGAAGCACCTGAAGGCAGTGATGCTGCCGCAGTGTCTTCTGGGATCCGTGGCTCGCACGGAAAAAGGGAGGAGGAAACGGAGACGGATGGCAGCGGCGAATTGGCGTCTCCACCGGCCTTATCGAGTGTGGGCACCTCTGCTCATTCAGGCGACGACGGGATGGGTGTCCGTGAGGGCACCACTCTGCAGGAAGAAGTGCCACCACCTCTTGGGACTGAAGACATTCCGAAGGCCGACGTGGAGCGACCGATCTACGAAGAAGAAGCGACCTCTCCGGAATGGGCCACTGAGCGGCAGACGCAAGAAACCACTGCGCCTTTGGTTGAAAATGGAGACGGTGAGGACGTTGGCACCGCATCGGGTAATGCAAGCACCCTGCCTGGGGAAACCGAGATCCCATCGGAGTCCAACGCAACATCGCTCTCGGACCATGGCATTTTGCCTGAGCACGGGCATTACAGCGAGTTGGCGGGCATGGCTCTATTTGCTGAGAGCACCGTGCATGGGTGTGTGTCTCGGGTGCTGTTGCTGCTGCTGCTGGGGCTGTGGGGCACTGCGGCTCTTTGTTGAATAAATTTGGGGAGGAAAATTGCAGAATTCCGTGGAACAACTGAGCGGCATCCCAGCAATACTCAATGAGTTTTGTCAAGGATACTTTCTTTTTTTTATTTTTCTTTTTTTTCGTTTTTTTTTTTTGCTTTTTTCTGTTTTCTTTTTATTGCTGGTGCTCTGTTGAAATAATCAGCATTCCTGTTTGTGTGTTTTTCCCAAAAACGGTCGCTTGATGCACACCGTCACGAGTGACGTGCTTCCCCCTCTTTTGTTTGCTTTTTTGCCCACACGCGGTGCCGGTCTCATTGCTGTGCGTCCCACGGACTGCACGAAGGGAGGAGTGGAGGAGCAGGCCGGATGCCGCATGAAATGTGAGGGATGTTGTGTGGGCTGGTGGGAGAGTGCAATTTCTTTTTTTATTTGTGTGTGCGGGCAGTATGTATAAACTCAAGAACACGGTTGCATTGTGCTGCGTGGCACATGAAATGACATATCTGCCGAGTCAATTGTTTTTTTTTTTTTTTTGCTTTTAAATTTTTTCAATTTTTTTTTTCTTTTTGGTAAATCACTAGAGTTTCGTCCCCGTCCGTGCCGTGTCCCATGTCACTGTGTGTCTCCGTGTCCCTTTTTATTATTCCTCTGCTGGCTGTGCTGCTGACACGCCCCCATTTCTTCTTCTTTTTCTTTCCTGCTAGAGGTACCGATGGTCCGTGACGACGATTGTTTGTGTTCCCCCTCTGCGATGGCACGAGGGTGACTGGGCGCCTGCCTGCTGAGTGCACTCGGAGGGGAGCGGATGGTGCGCGTGGTGCTTCGTTTGTGAGTTCGGGACGCCACCCGTCACGACCTGCTGCGAGGCGCAGCGCTATTCCGTCGCGGCGGAGAGGAGTGAAGGACTGCGCCGTGGACTTGGATGCGCCCCGTTCCTCTCGTTGCGGCCGTGTGTGTGTGTGTGCTCTGGATGCCCAAACTCACTTGCCCCGCAAATGCGACAACGGAAGGATGTGGTTGCGTGGAGGCGCCAATGCCACTTGAATCAAACCGTGCCTGTGGCACACACGCAAACAGGAGGAAGAAAGGAAGGAATTATTCGTCTGGGCTGCTGGCCGGATCCCCAAATTTCCGAAGGAAATAAAATACGACGGAAAGGGAGAATGAGTAAACGGAGAGGCAGTGGGTTCGCCAAACTCTCGTTGTTTGCTCCGCACATATGTGTATATTTATATATTCTGGTGGCCCCACTCTCGTGACATGTTAAACGCTCTATTCGGATACACCTTTTTTATAGCTTACGAAGTGGCGGACTTTGGGCCTCTCCAGCCACAAGACCCCGCCGCAACGGTGGGAATCAAGAGAGGGGGCGGACGGTACGGCAAAAATAAAAATATTCATCTTGACGTTATCGGTTCCCTTGGTTGCTTCCATCGCCGTCTTCTAAAGGAATTCATGCGATAGGAAGGAATAGTAGAGAAATACGTCTTTGTTTCATTGGGAGCTCGTGAGGAGGATGCTCATGAAGTAGGCTGGCGTCCCTAATGTATATGTGTCCTGGTAAAACGGAGATATTTCTTCACGATCCTTTTCTATTTTGTGAATCTTTGGTTGACCGTCACTGAGGGATTCAGGGAACTGTTAGCGTCCAGACGATTTGTAATTATTTTAGTTTTCACAGCCACACGGGATCCCTGCAAGCTGATTGAAGGAAATGGCAGTGTTTTCTTTTACACGGCGACGGGAAGAAGCGACATTGGTGCCCGCATGCTGGACTTGGCACGCCAGCATGGCGATGTACGGGTGCAGCTCGCCTTCGTTGATGAACACGGGCCGTTGGATGCGGTGGTAGCCGCCGCCGCAACAATGACAGGCTTACGCTTGGTTTCAGGAAACATCGCCATGCACTGGGAGGATACGACCATTGCGGGCACTTTGCGAATCGCCGGGCGCCTCAATTACCTAATTTCGAGGTTCTGAGTGCTGCTGCCCATCGTGTGTGTGCTGCCCGGGAGTTGGGAGTCCAGCAGGGGCTGATCATTGCTGGAGGGCAGAGACTGAGCACCAACTACGCCAGTGCCGTCGCGGGCGTTGCGGATCGGAGTGCTCAGCTTTACTCGCAGGTGGAGGAGGCGCATGATTACTTGTTGGCACGCGGATCTCACATTGCGGTGGCCGGCGGTTTTCTTGCGGGACGCGGAGACGCCGTTTCTACGCGAGGCGCCCACCTCTTGGAGAGGGCCACCAGATGGCGTAAACACACAGCCGCACCAACGGCATCGTTTGATGGCTGTGTCAGAAGTGTCGCCATTGGCCAGACCGCAGCACGCCAGGATGCCGGTGGTCCATGTTGGAAATGAATCGAACCCCGCTGGACATGGCGATTCTGGGGTTACAAAAAATTGCGGCACGATAAGAGACGAATCAGGCGCGCCCCTCGACAAAGAAAGGGACCGAGGAATGTATCTGCAGCCGGGCCGATTGGAAGCAGTGTGTTGTTTTTCGACATGCGTGGATAACGGCGAGTCGTTGGTTTGAGATTGCGGCCTTAACTCCCAACAATTTTAAACTGAAGGCGGACGGGACCGTAATTTTGGATTGTTCCGTGGCGCCGAGAGACGGCGAGGCGGATCCCCACCGCGCCTCGAGGTCCGTCGTGATAAGAGGGCAGGAGGACGTGTTAGACACTATAAAGTTATGCAGGACACTTCGACGCAACGAGAAGCTCACGAATATTACGACCGTTCAAATCGAAAGAGCTCTGGCTCCTTGGTGCGCCACGGCGCATTCCATAAAACACGGTGCGTTGAGGCACGCTGCTCCAATCGTGGAGACACACGATTTGAATCCACACGTGATCTCGCAGTTGGCGAAGCACGTCGACCCGTTCGACCTTCCCCATAACACAGTTTGTTATTTGTGGAGGTACACCACAATGCTGACCCAGGTATCGTCGCTGGTCGCATTGATGTGAAGGGAGAAGCTGCGGAAGGGCAGGAACCCTGGCTGAGAGCGGAGGAGCGTTTTTTCCGTGATTTTAATCACAATCATGCCGCTGCAATGACGAGACGCGCGAAAAGGACGCGTCCGGCCACCCCACAAGATGATCACGCTATCCCGTTACAGCAGCAAGTCAACGTGCCCGTATTGAATCTGGAGTGGATTAAAAGCCGGTTGAACCCGGCGACATTGGAGAGACTCATGCAAGTTTGGGGACTCGTCGGGCGGCTCACTTTCCCTCCGTCTTCCTCCGGTAAAGCGCGCGAAGGATCACGGAGGATTCCAACCGCTGACGCGCATTTGTTACGAAAAGCAGGAATAATCGAGGACGCTTCGTCCACAATAACAGGCGGATGGATAATACCCTTCTCGGTTGTGGAGGAGAAAACCAACGGCTTACGACGACGATGGATCGCGTGGCCGCGCGACAAGAACCGAGACGACCCTTACAAGGCGAATGCTCCTCTTTTACACATTTCCCATTATTTGCCGCCTGCGATGGCTGAGGCCGCTTCCTGCCTGGACTTAAAGGCGTCCTTTTTTCGTGTTTCTTTGCCGCGGGAGACTCGGCATCTCTTTCGATGCCGCGTGGAGGACGGTACGCTGGTGGAGCTGACACGGCACCCAGTGGGATACAAGGCCGGCCCAGAAATTCTCCAGATTATTATTACTTCGGCAATTGCGGGGGTGACGACGGTGGTTCACCGCCTCTGGGCCGCACCTCCATCGGTGCGTATCGACGTATGGATCGGTAATATACGCATTGCAGGGTCGAAAAGCGACGCGACATTGTGGGAGGCCCAAGTGCTTCGTAATGCGGACAGTTGTCACGCCACGATAGGGAGGACCGCGAATCGGGCGCCACGCAGTACACCTTCCTGGGGGTGCAGCTTGGTCACGCACACCGGGCGGTATCCCTGAGTGGAAGGTTTGTCCGGTCTGTATGCGCCGTGCCGTCACTCAATTCTTCAACCATCGCGGGAATGGAGGTTATGGCGTCACGCTTTTTGTATGCGGCGGCCATTTTGTGCACACTTTTGTGCATAATACTTTTTCATCAAGGCAGTGCGACGACGATTGTCCGCACTTTACCGGGGAATTGTGCGGGAGACATCCCCGGTGAACCTTCTGCCGTCAGCGGTTGGCTTGGGCGAGAGATTGCGACACAGCATCGAGAATATAATCGTAAGCGAAGCCTCAAGCCCACCGAAAAAGGCATCGGCCGCCATCATCACGGACGCATCGCTCCATGGATGGGGCGCCGTTTTCATCCCAGACTTTGTTTACGCTAAAACTGCCGGGGGAAATGGAAGATGCCTTTTCTTATCATGCAGGCCGAGGCATGTGCGGTACGCTTGGCCTTATCGGCCTTTTCCGCCATCTTGCCATCCCCCATGGACGTTTGGGCGGACAACACTTCGCTGCAAGGAGCGGCGAATAAAGGCAGCCCAAAATCACACGCCATGACGTGGGAGCTGCGACGGATATGTTTGTTGACTCTCGCGGAGTGCAGGCATCCTTTGCATACGTGCGGTCTGCGGAAAACCCCCGCAGACGGCATATCACGCGGTTGTGTTTTTGCACTTCAGGACTTGGCGAGGGGGTGGAACTTGTGAAGGGGAGCGGCGGGTTCTTGTGACTGGGGGAAACCAAAGTCTGCCACTTCGTAAGAAATATATATATATATGCATACTTGGTGTTAAATTTCGAGGGTGTGGTGAGTCCACTCTTATTCCATTTATACCTTTTTTATTCATGTCTTGTTTGGTTTCTGTTATTGATAAACTCATGATTTGGACAGTGACCCAGGTGAATATTCCTTTAAGCATTGCGTTGAGAGGCAGAAATGTTTTTTTTTCCCCCCTTTATTTTTGTTTTAAAGGTGATATTGCGATTATTGTATTTCTCTTGGTCATGTTCTTGGATCAAAGACTTGGTGGATTCAGTCCTATGCCACACTTTTCGACTGTCTCGCTTATGGTGGTTTGGACGCTTGGATTTGTTGTGGCAATGACTACGGGCGCAAT